GTGACCCGCGTTGGTTTACGCTTTATGACTTTATGATTTTTAAGCGCATATTTTTCTTCCCACTAGATTGACGTTGGTATTATCGTGTGCAATGAAATTTGAATCGTATCCACATGACACACAGATATGTTCTATGATGATCGAAAGTCGTAAGTGACAAATACTACTAATTAATAAAATAATATACGTACAGATACGAGTATATTATATAGATGTAGTGACCTACCTAATAAGTATTATTTGACTGTGGGTACCTACATATTTTATATTTACTAACGCATCTATAATATTCCAATAAAATTGTAACTGATAAATGATAAATTTATAAATATATTAAAGTTTTATTTTACTATTTGTTAGTAAGTAGTTAAACATAACACCGATGGACTTGTATAAATTATTATAGATTTGCATTATGCATCCATTATTATAACACCTTTGAGAAAATATGCTGCTCAGTACTTGGTATATCTATGGTATTATTAACTATTAAAACAGTTTTGAATTATATCGTGTTTAAATATTAATTAATCTAGTAATTAACATAAAACCTATATATACCTATAGTATTTTTGCACCAACTATAATAAAGATAGGTACTTCAGTATTTGTTATATTTTACTAATATCTGACTTTCAGTGTCTCACACAACTCACGATTTGGTTTTTATATGGAATATGACAGATCCATTGGTGGTAAATCCAGATATCGAGTTGCCTCAACTCGATATATCAAACAATATAACTACCGATTGCACAATAGAATACTCAACAGGTGTGAAAAATATAATACTATGAATTAATATGTGATTAAGGGGACGCTACATCCCCATGTGCTGTCTCCATCTTACAAGTGCGTAACATACCAAATTTTACGCTCAGCAGTTCACATTTATAGCTCTGTTAATTTACAATTTAAGGTGAATTTACCTCTTAAAAAAAATTAAAGGCATCTAATATTATTATCTATGGCGTTACAYGGCATTTTTATTATATTTTAATTTTAAAGCGAGTTATGTGTATTTTAAAATTGTAAATTGTTTGTATATCTTAAAATACTCATAACTCACTTTAATATCAAAATGTAATAAAAATCCAGGTGATGCTCTAGATCAAGGATAATCGAATTTTTATGAACACATGTCAACACTACGGGTGTGACGTCCTCTTAACACACACGTCATATTTATTAYCTACATTGATATAGGTACATTAATCGACATGGATTTTGAGATAATGCACTAAAACATATTATAATTACATAATAATAGTCAGAAAAATATCCTAATATCAATCTATTTACTCTTTAATACTGTTTTAGTAGTCACTTAATAGTGTCTTAGCTTAATAAAAAGTTTAATTCGTAATAAGATTATAAGAAGCTCTGAAATTTGAAAAGAATTATTACTTTGCGAGAGCTTTGTCCAAAAAAAAAATTAAATCGAARGGATCAAAATAAATTTAATTTTTCTTTGTTTTACTAGATTTTCAAAGAAACAATAATTTCATTCGTTATAAAATCAAGTTTCATTAGATTTCAAGTTGAATATACTAATATATTTTGTAGAGACAGCTGTTGTCATCATACTTATTTCTTAACTATACCTAGCCAGTAGCTACAGCCTACAATAGACAATAATGCAACAGTTATAGGTACCTGCGGCTTGTTTCAAAAATGATGTTTTGAAACTACATATTTAAATGGATAAAAATTGTTTTCTGTAAGTCAAATGGGAATACACCTCGGTTCGATAAGTATRTTTCTCAYTAAAATGATGTTTTTTGCAATCGCGTATTTCATCATAGTATAGATATTAGATAGGTACCMGTATCTACATAATTCATAGAAAATTTCAGATACGTGGGACGTAGGACAGTTCAATACATTAAGTATCTTATTGTTAAATTATTAATAATTTATAGGGAATTTCACATGTTTGGCCGTGATGTTCAATTTACGAAGACGATTAGGGTACCATTTATTCCACACGTACATTCCATCGGCGCTCATCGTTGTCATGTCGTGGATTTCGTTTTGGATAAAACCCGAGGCCATACCAGCTAGAGTGACGTTGGGTGTGACTTCTCTATTGACACTTGGTAACGTTTATACTGATCAAATCAATCAGATCAATAAGTAATATTAATCGTAAAAGCATTTATTTAAAAAAAAAAACAATAATTTTCACGCAGCCACTCAAAACACTCAGTCACAACAGTCTCTGCCACCTGTATCATACGTAAAAGCTATCGACATATGGATGTCTTCGTGTTCGATTTTCGTTTTTCTGTCCTTAATGGAATTCGCCGTCGTGAATAACTACATGGGACCGGTGGCGACCAAAGTGATGAAAGGATACTCAGAAGAAGACATCCGAGGAGGCGACGATTTCAAGGTATATACACCAATGCTCAAAATGGACTGGAACGCAACGGAACGGCGTTCTGGTTCGTAAAATATTAGCTTTTGCGTCCATTCCAGTTGGTCTTGATTAGCATTTAAGATTTCTGGATGATAAAAATAATATTGAAATATTGAAATATTAAATTAAATTGCCACTCCGTTAGACATTTTTGAAAGTATCACAATCAAGGGTATTTAAATTATCAAATTTGCTTCTGACAAATGATATATATTAGACTGGGACGTGAGGATTTTAGTTTTTTTTTTTTTGGGGGGGGGAGGTCGAAGTAAATTTTACTACAATTCCATACAAGATTTATGCATAAAACATTTTATCTTGTTTTTATATGCTGGCAAATGAAAACCTTTATGATACAATACAATAACCTATAATTATTTAATATAATAACCAATTTCTATTATATAAATTTTCTACTTTTTTGAGCCATTTTATACAATACATGGTCTGTAGAGATAGATAACTTCCCAATTACTGATAGAAGAGCTAGTTCTGTTAAACGCTCACATCCAATCAYATTACAAAGCAATGWWTTTTTAGTGCTTTAGTGTTGAAAATGAACGTTTAACTTCTGTTGTAGAAACAGGCAAAACTGCCAATATTTTATGCTTGGRTAAAATTTTGCATCACATGCATCCAAATTATCCATCATTTCAGTAAGTCCTTTCTATATTTACCCATTTTACACACCATAATCAAAATTCAGACCCAATACTTTACCTATACTCGCATACCTATAGTTCGTAAAATTTTCCATTCCGGGCTCTAGTGTACACAGACCGAATTTAAAATGTTAAAAATTATAACTTTGATTGATTTAATTTCCCTGCCCAATAAATCAATAGTTGGAAATCAATAGTTGGAAATTTCGAAATATGTACCTACATYAACTAAAATTCTTATTTATACTATAAGTATTACGTACCTACTTCACAACCTAATAAGATGGGGACAACATACACGGATAAAACATCCTCAAGGGGATCCAACACTCAACAGTTCCGTTTTTTTAGAAAAAAAAACGCATTCTAACTCACTGTTTACTCCGATAATAACTATTAAAACACATTTTAATTTATTATTAAGTCTATTTTGATATTAAATTCTTAGACAACGAGAGTAGTAATCGATACGCATTCATTCACATACTATTCGAGTACACAATATAATACATGTATTAATTATATATATTATATATTCTAAAAATAAAAAAACGAGGGGCTAAAAAATGTTCGGGGGAGGGACTATAGCCCCATTTKCCCTTTATTATCTCACCATTCTACGCTTATGCACACATCGTTTTAAAAATGCTTAAAATCAAAAGTCGCAAAATTTTATATTTTATTCAGACCTAATTGAGTACCTACCCTCACACTGACTTGAGCTTTACACTAACAATGATTTTTAAAACCAATTTTATGTTAGATATTTAGTTCAACTTAGGATCCTTTGAGCCACATTATTAACTTAATAATTTAGAAAAAAATCTCATTTAAAGTGTTGAAAAATAAATCACGTATTTTTATGATTAACACACAAGTTGGAGAATTCAAAATAGACTTCATAGTAAATTCAAATGTTTTCAAAATTATTATCGGAATACAACTCAAGTCAGAACGTTGGGACGTATAGAATATAATAGACCTATGTTTCTACAAAATAAAAAAAGCGGAAGAATGGAATACCCTTATACTTAATATAAATGATTTAAAAAATAATTTTATTTAAAAAAAAGTTATTTTCTTACAAATAGATTTTTTTAACTAGTTAAGTAACCGAAAATATTGACTTATAAAGTTGCAACACTTAACTTTTAAAATACAATGATATTATACAGACTAGGGCTATCTCCCAATATGCGGTCTACCACAAAAATATGCGGTCTACCAAAATGGACGTGGTCTACCGTAATAATATTAAAGTAATAAAGTACAATTTAAGTATAATTTTAAGTATAAAAAAAATTTAATTTATTTAGAATCCACAAAATTATCTACCATAGTAATATTAAAAGTATAATAAAGTATAATTTAAATTATAAAAAAAATT